AATTTATAAGTTGTATAACTTCAGCACCAACTTACCAGAAGAGCCATAAGAAATACGACCTTGCACGAGTGTTTATTTCCATCACTGTCCGGCTCAGATTCTGCTGAACCAGGAGGAAGTGGCCGCAGTGTCGGTACTATCTAAATACCCGACCACATCGTCGATCTCCTGCTTTATCAAAAGCCAAGGGTGGTCACAAATTCTTTTAAGAATCTGTAATTCGGACATGCTCATTAAGAACATCTTGAATAAGATTTCAAATACCGTCAATGCTAATAAGACGTCTGAACCTGCCAGGAATTCGTGGGCTGTTTCACTTCTCAAAAGCGCCATATACATCTGACGCTGAGAAAATCACGAGATAGTAGACAGAAAAAATACAACATCTTACGTACCTGTCGTTGAGACAATCGCAGCCATACAATTATGTCATTCTTCTTTGCAAGCTGCTGTGTGCCTTGACCCATACTCGGAAAAACATCCTTCTTCAGGCGACGCAAAAAGTACAGAGCAATTTTGTCTTGAAGCTTCTGCAAAACCAGCTCAAAAACAGGATAACTTGATTATTGTCATACCTGCGCAACTCTTTTGAATGTAATTTGCATCCTTATTATTACCACTCAAAATCGCAGCTTCGTATTCCCACTTGAATCTGCAAGTTAAGCATAAGAGCCAGCGAAGGCACATTAAAAAACGCACTCTTTTCGGTCGCCTAGAAGTTCAGGGTAGCAAAAGTGGAAAAGGGCCCACATTTCCTGGAAAGAGGTGTTTAGTCGAAAAAATTTATCAGAGGACTTCCGTATCAATCTCACTCGCAAATTGTTCTGTATGGGAGTGCCACTTAAAATGATTCTATGAGCGCTCGGAATTTCCTTTAAACTTTCTGCACGTTGAGTTGAGGGATCTTTTATCAGGTGGCCCTGCACGTTTCACGTGAATGAGAAGCACGGCAAAGAAAAATCGTCTCACCTCGTCAAGAATGACGTAGTCCCATGTCACTTGATCACCATCAAACCTACCTTTCAAAGCATTGGTATTGTGGGGAACAATATCATATGTGGTAAGCAGCACTCCTCCGGCCTGTTGCAATGGCAACAATGATATGCACGGATGTAGATATCAGAGTGAGTATACCTGCAATATATGATGCAAGTTCGATTTCCGGACGTTTACAGACAACGTCGAGTAGCTGTAAGACAAAAGAAAGGAGTAGCATATGTCACTTGAATGATACTCCGTTCGCTTACTCTTCAACTTTCCTTCCAAGTCGCACCACATTGAGCTCCTTGCTCCAGTTAGGTATTAATGTCTTCGGCACCACAATGAGCGCCCTCTTAATAAGCTGAGAGTGAAACAGACCACAAAGAAATGCAGCAATCTGAGAAAGGATAGATTAGAACTGCAGAAGCATAAAAAAGAAAAGGTTTTTACCTGCATTGTTTTGCCAAGGCCCATGTCGTCTCCCAGAATTCCTCCTCGACGCTGAAGATGCAATCTCCACAGCCAACGTAGACCTTCATGTTGATGCTCATAGAGGACAGAAGCAACATTCCCGGGGAGGATGAATTTCCACCTTCCTTCACCAAGTACTAGATCGGACGCGGACTTGTTGGATGATCCATAACCTGCGGTATTGGCGGCGAAAGTATCTCTAGACACTTGCTGCTTCATCGTCAGCGACACGGAACCAAGTTTTTCGCACAGAAGATAGCCAACACCGTCGAAACGTTCGTTGGAAACGCTTGGCAGCTCTACCAGTTGAGCAGGACCAAGTTCCGAGGCCATTCGAAGAGGTGAATCATCCCTGGCAGTACAAACTACAGAAAAAAAACAGGAAGAAAAAAAAAAACATATGAGCTTCCAGCTTTCAACGAAGACAAAACTAAAATGTACCTGAGGAAGCGGTTTCCCCCCTGACAGTGGGAGCTGCATTGATAGAAATCATGTCAGCCTTCTACAAAGAATGAAAATGAAGCTTACCTGACGACTCATCCCAAACTACACTTGAAAAGAAAGTTAAAGGCAAGTTTTGTTGTTTGTCTTTTTTTTTCTTTTTTTTTCTTTAAAAACATACGAAAAGTAGTTTTTCTTTGTATGCTGAGAGCACACTTGCTACGAAAGAAAACCAAGCCTACCTGAGGACGCGCCTTCATCCCAGTCGTCAAACAATCGTGCATCGTTCTCCCAACACATATTTCCGGCATCCTGCTCCAATGGCGCTTGCCTACCGCGAGCAGCCTGGCCTCAGCCATCATCCATAGAACTAGCCGATCGATCAAGCCTTGGATGCCCTGGAGTGAAATGTCTCTCACAAACCCTCGCCGATCATCTCAAAGCCAGAGCGATCGAGACGCTGGAGTGAAATGCCGCTCACAAACCCTCACCGATTATCGTCAGAGCCGGAGCGATCGATACCCTGGAGTGAAATGCCACCCTCACCGATCGAAAAAATCACCTGGCGCAGACGACGAGCATGTAAATGCGCCGTGGGTCGTCACCGCAATATATAAAGCCCTCGAGACTTCCCTCCAAATTACAAAATATAAGCCCTAGCGTCACCCTCGTGCTGCCACGTCTCCTTTTTATTATCCCATATGCCAAGGCACAGCTTTGGTCCACCTCTTTATAAGCGCCCCACATCGAGTCATTGTCACTACCGGGGACGTTCCTGGAAGGGTCCGGTACCGGCATGGCCCCAGCTGGGGTACACAGGTATACTTGCTGTACCTGAAACCCTAAACCAGTTCCACCTGCGCAAGCAGTGTGATGCCTCTTGGGGTTTTTCTTCCGGTTCCTTTCCCCACTTCAAAACAAGGACCGATGCCCGGTGGCAACCGGTACCGGGCCATGGGGGAATATCCGGTTGTTGTGCTACCGCGGTGGTCGCGCGTGCGGTGTCGCACTGGGCACGCCCAGCTCGCGGCTTCCCAGCGCGGCCATCCCAGGAACGTCCATTTTACTTTTTAAAGATTTTTTCACTCTAGATGTAGTAAAAAGGTCAAAAGGTTATTTTTGGCTTGTACAGGTGGAAAAATGTCGGGTAAACCATAAAACAGTGTACTTCCAAGATTCTTTTCTCATTTTACTTTTATTTAAGTGTACATTTCTCATTCTACGTTATGGTAAAATGGTAATTTTCTAATTTTTTCATTTTTTAAATTTTTGTCAGGCATCGTCGTAATTCGAGTGCTCTGGCCTGTGGGAGACCTCATAGTCGAGATGGACGAATGCTCGCTCGATATCCGGCAAAGATTCCAGCTTGTTCTGGAGAGATTCGCCGATATCGTGAGCCTGCTGTAAAGGCATATGTCTGGGCAGCACTATATCCACCTCGGCGAAATAGTGAGAGCCAAATGTGTAAGCGCGAACCGTGTCAATCTGGAGAATCTCTTCGTGGTGGTTCCAGCACAAGTACGTGATCTTTTGGAGATAGTCCGGGGACGCCGTCCGGCCCACCAGCGAATTTACGTTGTCTAGCACTGTGACCGACCAAGTTCTAATCGTGTAAAGCGCGAGCTGCGGCAAGAACCACTCAGAAAAATCTACAAAGAATCAAAACTTTAAGAAAGCCATCCAGTGTACTTACAACAATGGCGCCGGTCGGATCGATCCACCAGAAGTAGCGAGCAGCGAGCACCGCCGCAACCAGCCCGATTGCGTTGGTGATCACATCGAAGAAGTGATCTTGCGCGTAGGCTCGCACGATCTCGTTCTTGAACGACTGGCAGTAGATCATGAGAAGTAACTTCACAATAGTGACCGACACCATGATCCCAATCACCCAATCGCGCCTGCTACCGTCCAATGCCAAGTCATGATCCTGCAAGATTTCATTTTTTTTTTTTCTATGAGAAAAGCGACGCCAAAAGAACAGGAAAAGAGAAAAACGTGTACATTGTTGATGAGCTTCCGCCCGGATTCAAGGAGAATTTGTAGTCCCAAAGTCGCCATCACGGAAGCAAACACAAGAATCCCCTGCAGGGCAAGAAAAAGAAAAGGCCACTCGTAAGAAAAGAGAGCGACCGAAAAGAAGAAGAAAGCTTTGCTCACCAGTGGTTGCATTCGCTTCTTCCCAATGGGATAGAGATATGGATTCGGCCGTTGCATCGAAAAGGCAGTGAACCAAAGGATGAAGCCGGACAAGAGATCCAGCAACGAATCCAGCGTCGACGCGATGATAGCGAGCGACCGGCTGCGAATCGATGCATATACCTTGGCCGCGAAGAGCACCATATTCGCCAGGTTTGAGATCCGGATGGCCATCGTCTCGCGCCGCGCAGTCTCATCCTTCTTCTCCTTGTCACCGGCGGACATTGGCCCTCTGTCTTGAATGCTGTCCAGCTCCGAGAAGGAATCGAGCATTTCGAGCTGCTGCTGGTAGAACTCATCCACTGGAGTGGTCGACCCTGCCGAAATATCGCGATGTGTGAGCGATTTCGCCAGAAAGAACCGAAAGAACTACCAAATCGATCGATAGCTTACACTTCTTGAGGCAATCGTGCATGGAATTCCGCGGCGAATCAGGCGCCACATCGACGCGATCGGGGCGGCGGAGGCTGAGCCTCCACGGCTGCTGCGCCGCCACCGCATCGCTCCATAGCAGAGACTCCGTCACGGCGCCGCCGGCATCGCCGCGGGTGTGCATATCGATCCCCTCCGCCATCGCGCATCCACACAAACCCTAATCTTCCTCCCTCCTCTACTTCCCGCTGGCTCCTCTTGTTCTTGCTAGCATGCCGAGTCCGTACTCCAAGGCTCATCTGAGGAATATCCCACGGTTTTTTATCTTTGTACGAAAACTAGCGAAACCTCCTTTACGGCATTGTTCCAACAAGAAGTATAAAGAAACAAGCAAGACAATCGAGAGATCTTCGTGACAATGCAATGTTCCAATGTATTGGAAAGGAACCGATCCAATCTTTATAGCCTCTGTAGCCATATAGCGTGAAGAAATCTGGGCAAATTTTTCTATGCTTCTACCATGAAGTGCTCTCTCCACCATAGTGAAAATGACCTCAATGTTTTCTTTGGTCCAGATTCTCAGTGGAATACCCACCAAACAAAGAGGCGTGTGGAACAGCGTTTCTCACTGCCTCACGACTCAACTCAGGCCACATCAGTACGCTTTGACGTGGCCAAGTCATCTTTCCCCCGAACACGTCAGCACGTCAGCTATGACATGGACAGCTCACTTTTCCTCGTCCTCGAGAAGAATGGCCGACTTGGGATTGGTCATTGGTGGTGGCTTGGAGCGCTCCAAGTCCTTGAGCTCGATCGCGAGCATTTTATCCCAGCAGCCACCCTCGAGCAAAATCCCAGCTCGGCCGTCCGTCACCCTCTGGAGAATCCCCGTGTACATGTAGTATGGGTTCTTGGGATTCTTCACGATGACAGTCATTCCCGGCATGAGCAGCGGTGGCGGCGCTGGCCTCGGCTTGATTCCCGGCCCCGGAATCTCCTTGCGAATCTTTTCAATCTCTTCGGAGAGTACCAGTGGCTTTGTCGGTGGAGGATTCTTGAGCAGGAAATCTATGAGCCCGGTCTCGCCGCCAGGGAAGCCGCCTGTTAGACCACCAAGTTCCTTCTCAAAATCACCATCTTCTTCTTCTTCTTTCTTGTTTCGAGCATCCGTTTTCTCGCTGCTCAAAACCGCGTCTTGGAAGAGGGGCCTCGGCTTCTCGTTGCTTATGGACGTCATCTGGTCTTCGCCCAGGCCTCGACCGCCGAGAATTTCCCAGAAGTTAAATCCCTGTGCGCGAACAGTCACCTGAGCTTTCCTTGGTGGTGATGATACTACTGCTACTAGCTGTCGAGTGTAGATTGGTCTCACAACTTTCTCGCCCCAGATTGCATCACGGCTGCGAAAAGCTGGCGAGAGAGCTGCTGCTGTTGATGACATTGCCATGATCCTATAGCAACCACAGGAAGAGTGTGACTAGAAAAAAGAAGAAAAAGAACTCACCTTGCTGGGGATCGAACCGATTCCTTAGGCTAGCTTGCCAGTTAGAGAATATCCTTGTGCACCGGCAGCAACGGCCGTCAGTTGGCCTAACTCCGACGGAAAGTCATGCGACAGTTGCCGTTTGTCACGGGAAAACTCCTCTCTTTCTTTTGCGAAGTCTTCGGCGAATCTGTGACACTGCACAACACGACAGGAGAAAACAAAATAAGCTTTCACACGAGCAAGAAAGAAATGGAAACGACTCACAAGTTTCCGCGACAAGAATTTCCATGGGAGCTCGAAAGCCTACGCCAAATCCACTGCAGCGCTCACCACCGCCACCACAGCGTCAACGGCATCAATGCCAGCGACCGCAGAGAAACCGGCAGCACCAGCGAAGCTGAGGAGATCAAATCTGTTTACTCAGTACCGGCAGCTGTCGGACCTGCGTCGAGCGGACGAAGAACACCGCCACCGCCTTGCATTGATCGCAAAGAGACCGCACGGATCAGTGAACTCGGCCCCCGGCTCGCCGGATACTTAGAGATGAACCCCCTCTTTATAGTCCGGAGAGAAGACCACCACTGTGAAACTACTGCTGCCAGGCCCGGATCCCCTGAAGTAGTCATTATTCCGTTAAGTCCACACTCGATCTCTTCACCACCTCATGTGACGAGAGACGGGCAAAGTTGCTGCCGAATGCGGAAAAGAGTTGTTATCGTGCCAATCTTCGTCATCGCCAACATTGTCGTGTTCATAATCACCATGTACCGGAACGACTGTCCTGCTCATCAGACGGAGTATCGCTGCATTCTTCCCGGACTCAAGAGATTTTCGTTCCAGCCACTAAGCCAGAATCCACTGCTCGGACCATCTTCGAACACTCTCCTGAGAATGGGAGCTCTTGAGTCGGAGCTTGTCACCAGTGGTCGAGAGGGATGGCGGCTGGTGTCCTGCATCTGGCTTCATGCCGGCGTTTTCCATCTCCTGTTAAACATGCTGGGCCTCCTTACGCTGGGACTTCAAATGGAGCAAGAGTTTGGGTTCCTGAAGCTCGGATTCGTCTATCTCATCGCCGGTTTCGGTGGAAGTCTTCTCTCTGCCTTGTTCCTGCGACTCACGATCTCTGTAGGAGCCTCTGGTGCGCTGTTTGGCCTCATGGGAGCGCTACTGTCGGAGCTTCTCATTAACTGGTCTCATCACGAACGTAGCTGGTTCACGCTGTCCCAGCTTGTAGTCCTCTTCATCATCAATCTAGCTCTCGGGAAGATGCCGCACGTCGACAATTACGCTCACTTGGGAGGTTGCATATCCGGAATTCTGTTGGGATTCATACTTCTCCAGCGACCACCACTCACTTGGCCAACTCAACCTGTCGGAATTACTACAACTGGCACTCCAGCCCCGGCTGCTCCCGGAATCCCAGCCCACGAATTCACTGCGAGTGCTCCGGCTATAGCATCTCAGAGGCACCACTATGAGCTCGATCACCAACTTATCCAGCTTGAAATGGATCAACGGTATCACGTTCACAGTCGGCTTCCACACCATCACCACCAGCACCACCACAACCACCACCACCATCAGCAGCAGCACTTGCCATACCAGCCTCCCTCTCGGCCGTGGAGAATCTACTCACTCCCAAAGTACAAGTTTGTCATCTGGGTTATCGCCTTGAATCTGCTGGTGGTGCTCTATGTAGTAGCCCTCATAATGCTCTTTCGAGGAGTTGACGTAAGGAAAAAGTGCAAGTGGTGCAGACAGCTCCTTAAACAGTAGCGCCTGTCCACAAATGAAACCATACAAGTTCAATTTCCAAAATGCTGTTCTGTAGTAGTACGTACCAGAAGCAATTTAAATTTTGTTTTTCACATTTTGCTGATCGGAGCTACCGAGCTCAACTTGTGGATGATATCGCTGTATTGCTGTGACATTTGAATTGCATCGTGCACACCGGTACGTAGAGTTCGCGATACACCTTGTATAAAGGCAGTAGTAGCAATGCCGATGCCCGCAAGGAACTGCCATATAAGGAACGTTGATAGGAGACACTTCGCAAATAGGACAGGTCTCTTCGTCTGTGCGCTTTACAGCCTCTTTACCGGTCAAGGACGAAGGAAGAACTTTCTTGAGCGAGAAGACGTTTAGCAACGGCAAAACTAGTAGCAATAACTCCTATAGACCGCAGTTAGCATAGACAATGGGCAAAAAAGAACCACACTTACCGAAAATTCTTGCCATACAAGTTGATGGTTCATGTACTCAAAGCTCACCGCTCGGCTCATGTTCGGCCTTAGATAAACCAAACGGGTCTGCAAAAGTCTCTCCACCAAATTCCGGTACCTTGCATTCAACAATTGTAAAGAAAAAGTTTATATTATTCATGTTAAGTTCGAGACAACCTTGCATACCTTCCAGTACGAAGAAAAGCGATCAGATTTATCATGTAAGCTACCTTATAGAAGCTTTCTGCTCGTTGTAATAAGACCCATACTCTTCGTGGCCATGACCTCTGAAAAATGGCAAACGTAAATCACAGCTATCTTGAATCGAAAAAAAAACATACACTGTCGCGGTCTCCCCATCGTTGAAATGCTGAAACCAGCTGAAGCCGAGCCCAGCCATATCTTCCTCCCACTAGAGCGAGGCAGTAAAAAATCTTTTGTAGTGCTGTAAGACCAGGACCCTCCAAACCCGTCCTTACTGCATCGAAACTTTGAGCACGAACAAAAACAGATAAAAGAAACATACCTTGTGAAGCTGGAAGTTTAAAAAATTCACGCTCGTCCCGGTAGCGAAGGTTCATGAGAGCATTCCCAGGCGTAGGACGATCGACCCAGATCGAAAATCTCCATATAAGAAACTCCAAGAAAGCGTTGAGTTCCGGTTCGTAGCGAGATAGTAAACCTGGCTGTGCATTGCCATACGAAAGATCATCAAGCAAAAATCGAGAGTCTACCAAATAAGCATCACCTGGACAAACGAAAATATTTTCAGGAGCTGCCCTCGCAACATTCCTGTCATCTCGAAATCCAGCCTCTCGGCATCAAACTGATTCACTCTAGAAATCGCGACAGAAGGAATCGTCTGGAAAAGGAACAAAACAGACAAATATCGACACGAACGAGAGCGAAATACCTTGCGCAGCTGCTGCGATCGAAGAACATCACGCCAGACCTGGCGCCATGCTTCTGGCGATGGAGGCCGCATTACAGCGGCAGCTGCCGCCCCGCCCCTCTCCGCCATTGCCCTGGCAGGGCTCTAGGGCTTTTTTCACCTTGATAAATGCCAAGTGGAAATTTAGGGTTCTTAGCAATGATTGACATTGGATGGAAGAGCTCTATCGCGACATTCTCTCTTTCGGTTGCCTTCGCGTGAGTGTAGGGTTTGATTCTAGGTCTGCGCTGATCGGCATTCTTCCCAGGTTTTTCGGCATTTCACGACGTATTTGAGGGGCCGGGAGGAGCTGTTGATCACGATTCGGAGCGAGGAATCGATCAGGTATGAGAGATTTCTTTGCTTGCATTTTATTCTAGACGGAGAAAGGGTGCAGTAGTGGAAGAAATTTTTGCTTGGAGAATCGCTCCTCTAAATCGGCTTTGCCTCCAGCAAGTCCGTCAAGCTCCGAGACAAAGAAAGTTTGGTTCTATTCAGTTGTTTGCATTTTTCTTTCTTTCCTTTTCTTTTCTTTCCAAGTTCGCTGATTGGGACTGTGTGGAAATTCAGGTGAAGTCGAATGAAACGTTGTTCTTGCTGGGAGCTTATGGCCGATATGCGTGGCCATATATTTGGGTGAGAGATTTATGTTTTCTTCTCGTTTCCTTTTTTTTTTTTTTTTTTTTTCTTGCCGCTTAAAACACTTTTGGAACTGTGACAGCTGAGGTCTGATACGGAAGGGTGTAACCACGAGTTTAACAAGGACAGGCCAGTTGATCTTCAGACTATACGAGACTGGAAAATAAAGGGTAGACTTCTTTGCTGTGAATTCGAAAAGCTTGGTTCCTCACTGATATTACTTAAAGAAGCTCAAGTCTTTTGCAGGTAGGAAAGTCTGGGACATAGTTGAGGAGCTTATATCTCTCAAAGCACCGGGAGTGGTCAATCCCTTTGAGGTACATATGGAATTCCGACAGACGATGAGTGATGCCTTTGTTTTAGGTGGATTTTGCTGCATTGAACAAGTTGCAACCTTTGGAAAGAGCGACTATGGCAGGCGCGACTGCTGCATTTCTACAGAAGTTGCTGCTCGAGAGAGAGCAAGACTACACACAACATGTCATGGACGATCTCAAGAGGCTCCTTGTTTGTCATTTTCAGCATATGGCCTCGTTGTTACCCGGAACATAGGTGAATGACTTTCCTGGACCATGATTTATGTCTAACTTGATTTGCTCTTCTTTATGCAGCACCAGTCGTACTCGTTGTTAGTTTATGCTTCCTCCTGTAATACATCTTGATACTTTTAAAAACTCCTAGGTCTTCGGGAAACGGGTGGACAGCGTTTTCGAGGTCAGGAAGAAGTATGCATTGCTATCTCCCTAATGCATTGCTTGCAACCAGCTCAAAGGTTTTCCTACATAGAATCCGTGAGAAATTGTTCTGATGAACGGAGGAGGACATCCATTTGGCTTGCAGAACTCAAAGAATGCAGTCGCTCCAGGGACTTACACAGGGGGAGATTGGTCCACGCTGATATTAGTGACAACGGGGATGACTCAAACATCTACATAGCAAATACACTGGTCAGTATGTATGCCAAATGTGGAAGCCTAGTGGAAGCTCGAAGGGTCTTCGACAGGATAAGCTCTCGTAGTTTAGCGTCCTGGAATCCTTTGCTACTGGGGTACGCAGAAACTGGTGAACCGGAGCTGGCTTTGCAGTTATTTGCTCGGTTGCTACGAGAAGGCTACGCAGCAGAGACGCGAACATACGTTGCTGTAGTGAAGGCTTGCACGAACTTGGCAGCAAAAGAAGAAGGCAGGGAACTATCTAAGCAGGTTGTGAAGGTAGAGTCTCTGGAGAAAGGCTTTGCAGTTCATTGTGAAGCGTCCAAGAGCAGCTGCGAGTCCCACATCTTTGTGGCGAGTGCTCTGGTGGACATGTACTCGAACTGTGGGAGTATGGAAGACGCTCAGCTGGTTTTCGACAGAATGCCGTATCACGACGTGGTTCTGTGGAACGCTTTGATACTTGGCTATGCGGTGAACGGGGATGGAAACTTTTCACTACAGTTGATGGCTCAGATGAAAGCTGAAGGCTGTCAACCTGATGCTCGAACTTTCGTCGCTGCTTTGAAGGCCTGCAGTGCTTTGGCTGTGGAAGAAGACGGCAGGGAGTTTTTCCTTTGCGGGAAGCCAAGGCTGGTGAAGGTTGACGCGCTGGCCAAAGGCTTCACAGTTCACTCTCAAGCAGCAAAGCGAGGGATCGACTGCTCCAATGTTTTCGTGGCAAGCGCCCTGGTGGACATGTACACAAACTGCGGGAGTTTAGTCGATGCCAAGCGCGTCTTCGACGGGACGGCCTCGCGTTTTGACGCCGTGCTATGCAACGCCTTGATGCTCGGTTTTGCTGACAACGGGGAAGCAGAGGCAGCTCTGGACTTGTTTACTCGAATGAAGCTCCAAGGCTGCGAACCAAACGCTCTCACTTTTTCAGAGGTACTCAAAGCTTGTGGCTCTGTTGCGGCTCTACGAGTTGGAAAGGCAATTCACGGTAGCATCCTCAGGTCTGGCCTAGAGAAAGACAAGGTTCTTACGAACTGCCTGGTGGATTTCTACGGGAAATGTGGCAGCATGGTGGACTCACAGCAAGTTTTCGATTCGGTTCTCTCTCCGGGCTGCATAACTTGGACTGCTCTCATAGCTGGCTACAGTCATCTAGGGGAAACAAGACTGACTTTTAGTTCTTTCGAACGGATGCAACAAGAAGAAGTGAGAGCGAACGGAATCACTCTAGGCTGCATTCTCTACGCTTGCAGCCACGCTGGTTTGGTATCCAAAGGCAAGAAGTACTTCCAAGCTATGAAAGGCAGATTCAGCATTGAGCACACACTAGAGCACTACCACTGCATGGTGGATATGCTGGGAAGGGCCAGCGACCTAGAAGCTGCTCTGAGACTGGTGGAAACTATGCCTTTCCAGCCGGTCTACTTGACGTGGATGATCCTGTTGGGTGCTTGCAAGAAGTGGAAGAACTCCGAAGTCGGACGGATTGCCTTTGAAGCTCTGGTGAAGATCGACGAGAGAGAAGCTGCGGCGTACGTGCTCATGGAGACGATCTATGGAAGCCGAGGGATGTGGGAGGAGCAGGCTAGGATCGAGATGATGCGAGTGGAGGCTCGGGCATGGAAGAAACCAGCGGGACGAAGCTGGTGGACGGACGATCTGGGAAGAGTTCACAGCTTCATCGTGGGTGATACGAGCCATCCACAGAGCGAAGAGATCAACACGAGGCTAAAGTTAATAGTGGCAACGATGAAGGGGCACGGGTACGTAGCAGACGTGGGAAGTGTGGGGCGAAAGGTTCCAGAGGCCGAGAAGGAAGAGAACTTGTGTGGCCATAGCGAGAGGCTGGCCATAGCTTGTGCTCTACTCAACACTGCTCCTGGCACGACACTCCGGATCATGAAGAACCTCCGGGTTTGCGATGATTGTCACGAGGCAACAAAGATTATTTCCAGGATCGAGAAGAGGCGGATAGTGTGCAGGGACGCGACTAGATTTCACGACTTCTTCAACGGGGAATGCTCGTGTGGGAACTTTTGGTGACGGGAGATTCTTTCAAAAGATTTAAATGACGATTAAAATGACTTATCATTTCATAGGTTGATCAAGTTATTCTTGTGATGCTTTATATCAGGCATTGAGGTTCCAATCCAAGATGCAACAGGAGGGGCAGCAGGCAGATCGGTGAAGCCTAGGGCGGGGACGGATGGCTTATCAAAAAAACTTACTATAATCTGTTGGTCTCACAAAACTTTATAAACAGATAATGAATGAATGAGTAATAGTACAGCTTGGCATTTTGTTTTATAGTCTTGCTATATATATATACTAGTATTTGCTCAGCCAATGCTGGGTAGTTGGCAAAGCCTCTCAAACTTACTAACATATCTTTGTGAGAATTTGCTCACATCTCACAATTTCCTTGTGAGATGATTCCTTTATTTTTAGCACCAGTCCATTGTTATTCATTGGGCCATAGGGAAAATTAAGAAATAAACAAAGTTTATTGTAGTTTGTTTTATGTTTTAAGGTGTAGTAGGACAGGAGTTAGTTAATATAAAGCTTCTTTATATACAGTATTGATGAATGTTGATGAATTAAATGGAATTAAATGGCCTTATGTATGATTTGTGTCAACTCAAATTGCAAGTTGTTGTGGTGATGTGCATCTTGAGAGTGCAACATAGAACTGCCCATGGGTAAAGACTGGCTGGGGTAAATAGATGCCTACATGATCAAATGTTTAACCTTGGTATTTTGAAATTGTTAAACAGTATCCAAGACGAAAAGGAAATTGTTTTCGAGACATATGAAATGGAACATTTGAATTAAAGGGTGTTAAGTTAATGCATGGGATAAAAGTTCTAGTACCTTTAAATTCACCTGTAATTATTTCACAGTCCAAAACTTTAGGTGAAGTTCTTTTGACCATTAATCAAGTTCCATCGCATAATCCAATTGTTGGAGATATATTTCTCAGAAAAATAATTATACAACCTTCTTTTAGTATTAATTTGTGTGGTGGTAGTCTAGAGGGAGTGATAGAGTTTAGAAATTTAATTGGGAATTCTTCAGGGTGTTCAACATCAACAGAGTCAATGCTAGTATAAATTTGAGGTGGACTTGGTAATTGAGAGATGATGTTGTTATTAATTGGAAATGTATCATCATTGAGAGGTGTTAAAATGGCTCTATTTACTACAATTTGAACATTTGAAATATCTTCAATACATGGGAATATAAAATCAGTAATAGAGGTACTTCTAATTAGTTCTAAAGGAAGAAGGATAGAATCAAGTGGTAAAATAGGGTTTTGTGTGTAATTATTTCCATCACCGACTTTCAATAGTCATTCTGCCCAGTTTGGGAACTTGGGGCCAAGCTGCATATTTGTTTGCAATTGAAACTTTCTAAATAGATTCCATAGACTATTCATTTTTACAGATGTGGAAACAATCTGTGCTTAATAACTGTGTGGGACAATTATTAATGTTTGACGGAAGTCACCACTTGTAACAATAACAATGCCACCGAATGGAGAATTATTATGTTTTAAGTCTTGTAGGCAACGGTCGACAGCTGAAAAAGCAAATGTATGAACCATACTAATTTCATCCCAAATAAACACTTGTATTGCTTTTGTAGATCTACCAGCACTGTTATTATGTGTTAACTTAGAAACAGATGTATCATTAATTGGAACTGGTAACTTAAAAATTGTATGGGATGTTTATCCATTGTGTAGTAATGTGCTTGCAATACCTGTCCATGCCATACAAACCACTTTTTTATTGTAGAACTCAAAATATTTTACTATTGTATTTAATAAATATGTTTTGCCAGTACCACCAGGGCCATCAATAAAAATAAAACGGTTGGTATCGGTTGGGCACTCGACAATATTAACAATTTCATTGAATATAGCTAATTGTTCAACATTCAAGTTTCTAATATAATGGTAAATTTCTGTATATAAATGGTTGCAATTTAGTATTGGTTGAATAGAGGTATATAGGATTGGGATAGGTAAATTGTATGGTTGATTTGTTTTACCATGTATTTTCATTCTTGAGTTAATGTCTATTAGAGCAAGTTTATATCTGTATACAATATTTGTTTTACCAAAATCTTCAGAGAGTTGATCCTTAAAAACATCCCAAAGATATGGTGGGTTTTGTGGATTGCAAAAAATACATATGAAAGTAAAGAGTTGACGCAATTGTGTAGGCATCTGAAAATTGCATGTTTTTTGTAAACAATTATACCACTCATTATTATCATCAACAAGACCCATAACAACAGCAGCTTATTGAAAGCTTTGGTAAGTTATATCATTAATTGTTTTAATATTGTCGAAGGATGTCGCTCCTCTTTTATGAAGAAGAATAATACGTAAGTGGTACAATTCGGTATTTAGAGGAGATACTGAGTATAGTCGAGGAATAACCTTTTTCTTTTTTTGACGTTGCCAAACATTAGCAGATTTATTGAAAACATAATGTAAAGGTATTTCAACGTAAGTATATTATCTTGCATTCAGATCATGAATATTGAGTTCAAACCATTTTGCTAGCATTGTTCCATTACATGCTGCTCTTTGCAAGGCATTGTGCTCCAAACCTTTTGTAAAATACACATTTGGAAGTCAGGAAGATGTACGGGCAGACGTATTATAGGGTGTGAGCATCCATGCATTTTAAATTTAAATATCCTCCAAATAGCTTCTGGTGTTGAAATGTATCGGGTATTTATAAAATTCATGAT